TTGTTGTTTGATTAATCTTGCTGCGGAGCGAATATGTTGAGCTCTCGAATATAGTGAAGCACTGTCAGTTGGGCCATATTTCATTATGGTCTGCGCAGCAATAAAATGCATCTTTTCTTGGTTATGGCACTCCCTCATAGTTGTTACCGCTTGAGCATAGCGATCATGAGCAAACCTGAATTAAACCAGTTTAATCAGTTCTTTAGAACAGAAAGCTAACCCATATACGCAGGGGGCAAGGAAAAAAATAAGTCAGGACTTTACCTAAATTCATCATCAGTTTCGCCTGGGAGTATAATGTATAGTTGAAGCAAGTGCTGAAGGCCCGAAACAATGCCTCGTTTAGTCTGGGTCAGAGGGGTTCGACGAGGACAAGTTATGTCTTCCTCATCCTCTCCACCCCGGGAGTATAGAAACTCTCCAGAGAGTAATCTCTGAACTAGCGTGAAAGAGAATGGACTTCCCAACAACGCAGCCCACAATAAGATTGAGCGGGATTCCGAGGGAAGTTCCTGAAATCGTTTAGCAATGAAATCTATTCCAATGCCTTGACCATAACTCGGAGCAACAAATTCGGAGAATATCCTGTCCAAGTCGTACTGCCAAGCAGAATCTCTCCAAGAATACCAAAGGCAGTTTTTCTGATAGCAGGTCTCGAGCATCATGCGCATGTAAAATGGAACTCCCTGACTCTTTTCTAGAACAACAGCGGCAAGGGGTAGAAGTTCCTTGCTAGCAGCTTGGTGCATCGTGGCAGCCACATATTCGAGAACTTCACGCTCACTTAGTCGGGCCAATTCTATCCTGGTAACATTGGCCATGTCGGTCTGAAAAAGTGCCTTTAATTCCGGTGAGTTTATTTCTTCCGGTCGACTTGTGATCATAACGACACATCGGATCTTTTTATTGATAATCTCGAGGAGCAAATGAACGCTTTCGGCGTCGGCATATTGAATATCATCTAAACACACGCATATCAATTTATGGAATGACATAACTCTCAAGGTTTCAAGAAGTGTATCGGCGAATCTAAGCATTGCACTCGACGACGGGTCATTATAGAAATCCTTAAATGTCTGACCGGCACTTAGGCTGATAAACTCTGCATTTTTGGCAGGGAATGATCCCTCAGACCCTTCCTTAAGTGCAGGTAATGGGCTAACGGACTTCAAGAAGTTCACAGGCTGGCTGGTTTCTTTTAGGGGGTATATCAAGTTTTCTGGCAGCCCAAGTACTCGATGAAGGGATAACCATATAGGCTGTAGCGTTGAACGTATTGAGGTGTGATATTCAGAAGAAACGTCACGTTCTGAAAAAATCTGACGTAGAAGACTAGCAAGAAATTTAAAAAACGGTTCGAAAGGGACCCTTCGCGAGCGATCCAGACGGGCAACGGCAACATAACCATTCTTACGGATCTCCGGCTGTAGTCGGTTTATCAGATCTGATTTTCCAAGGCCAGCAACCCCCGATATGCTTATCACCTCGCAACGTCCACTTTGGTGGTATTTTGCCGTTACTTTCCGCCGCCCTAGACTTGCAAGTGAATCGAATTGGCCGAGACTAACCAGACTGGAAGACACGAGGCCCTCATGATCATTGGCATCCCCGGCAGTCCTCAAATCAATAGGGCTTTTAACTCGATTGGAAATAAGGGGCGTTTTTTGGCTCGAGGAGGAATCTCCACTATGGTTCAAGTCTTGCGTTGATGTATGTGTGAAAATACAAGGCACAGCTGTAGAATTGGTCTTTGAGCCGGCGATACCACATGATCCAGAATCACTAGAGCCATCTCCTGTTTCGAGACCTTCTAAGCGACTATCGGAAAGAGACGAGTTCGAACTATGGGCATAAAGGGGGTAAATATTTGACTTGGAAGAGGCTTGCGTTATAATAGCCTGCTGACGTTTCTGGACTTTGTGGATAATTTCGAGGATCTTTCCATGCTCTTCTTTCCTGCCAAACATAGTTGCTGGCAGTGCAAAGAATGAAGAGACATCGCGCTGGGCTATGACGAAATTCTTCAGGCCCTCACAATCACCATCTCCGAGCAGCCTTGAGATTTGTTGAAGATCCCATTTCACCGAGGAGATCGTGTAGTATCTATCATCGATCTGCTTTTGGGTCATCTTTTGTATAACAGCGGAGGCTGCGTCCGGCACATCCATCCTTTTGTGAGATACCAAGGGTAATTGTTTCCCAAGAACCTTTTGCACCACTTCTACAGGATCACTGGCTTCGAATGCGGGTTGTCCTACAAGCATCGACCAGAACATCACACCAAGGGCGTATATATCAGTACGACTATCGGGCTCCGTTGGTAATCTCCCAGTTTGTTCTGGTGCTATGAACTGTAGCTTATTTTTCACGCCCAACTCGCGCGACAAAATCGACCATCCTTCACTCAGTGCATTATCGAAGGATCTAGCGCCATTTCCCGTAGTCACAATTTTCACGGTGCCTGCCTCGGAGTTGAAATGGAAAGCATCAGGTCTGATTTCTCCATGTATGCATTTCAGACCGTAATGTAACAACTCCAGACATTCGCAGGCACCGATAGCAAATTCCAAGAAAGTCGCAATCGGGACCTGGATCCCCGCAGCTGACGACTCTGTCATGCTACCTCCACCATATACGCAGAAAAACGAGGGCCCAAAGCCTACAAAATCTCTCAGGGAATTTGGACCCAGTGCCTCATAAATAGTGACTAATAACGGTCCTCGATCCCCCGGCTGAGGATTCATACGAATCATATCAATAGGACGGACGGTATGCTGGCATTCTGGATCCGACATCTGAATAATCGACTTCAGAGTATGGAACTCGCGTTCTAGCCTGATGACATGGCTTGAGATGCGAGCCACAACGGGTATCCACGCGGGATCGTGTTCATCGTCGTTACGGGAGAATGAAACATCGCTGCTCGATTCGCTGAGGCTATTTCGCCAATGGTGTCGAGAGTGGGATCTGTTTTCGAAGCGGGGAGAGGTATGGGAGGAGGAGGAATCTTTGGATCGAGAGAAATTGGAAGGGCTGAAGATGGGAGTGTCAGAACCTGGAGCAAGTCTGACGCCTGTAACATGCCAGTGGTCGTAGGATGAGCGAAAGAGTCTTGAATTCTGGTCCCACACGTAGCCAGGTATCTGCGCTAAGCGCTCGAATAGGCGTTCTGTGGGAAGAGGTAGTTCTTCCCCAAGGATATAGCTGTCGTCCATCGAGGACCGACTAGAGGGGGGCGGGCGGGGTAGGGTATATATGGGGGATTCTTTAACCGTGGAGAAGAGAGCGGTAAGCCCTGCTCAATGCATCGTTCGAGTGCGACTAAGAGAAGTATGGTAAACAGCCGGGACACGTCTAGTACCACGGAGGTGAGGAGTGGTCATACCTTGAACGGCCTCAGTGTTGTCTTCATAAATCAGGAGGAGTTGGTGTGAAGCGAAGAAGTTGAACAGGCGGCTGTCAAAAGTTGTATGTTGTATGTAACCAGTCGTCAGTTGTAAGTCAGGACAGTCGAGTTTAGGCATGGCTGGTTGCAACTACTTTAAATTGCTAAGGGTCCCCCCAGGCAGCGCTTGCCTCCGTTTCCAGCAACGGACTAACTAACTACTCACTTAACTAACTAACTAACTAACTAACTACTCACTTAATTAGTTAACTAACTAACTAACTAGTTAATAGTTAAGTGCTGACCTAACCCAGGAAGCTTTCCAGCGCTTTAACTAGTAAATCACTAGTTACTTGTGAGACCCAGTCAAACTTGTGTGTTTATTTTATTAATTTATTTTTTAATTTTTTCCTTGATTAATCTCTTTTCCAGAGGTCATTTCCCGATTCCTGCGAGAACCCATGCGCTAGCTTGTCAACAACCAATTAGAGCACGCTTGAATAGACAAATGATTAATTTCACTTCTCGATAGTTGTAATACAAGCATGATCACCTTCTTCCAACCTTGCAGTCAACGAGTCAGAACCCAGTTTTCCACCCCTCAGCATATGCGGAAGGGGGAACCTCTGCACACGGCAAGCTTCAATGGAAACCCTAGGTTAGTGGCAGAGTAGATAAGGTGGGGAGAATAGTTATTTTAATCTTCCAAGCTAGCCCTTCCTAATCTACGGAGAACTACACAGATTCAGATGAACTTAAATGTTGGGGATTCAGGCTCAGGTCCTGTAAATGAATGCTAGAAGAATCGCTCGCTGCACTTCTTAACCTCAGCCTGCTTAATGCTGCTGGTATGGTGATATATTATATCTCTATACCGTGCTCATTGACAAGATCTGCATGTCAAATTCGCAGCGTCTACAGATATCGGGTTCTGGGTCAGACAATGGCCCGTCAAGACATACGTATAACTTTTGAAACAGGGCTGACATAGTTGCGAAACAGGAGAAAAAGAAGAAATCACCTATCATTGATATTCTGATGCATGGAAGGCACGCAGGAAGTCAGGGATGTTGTCAATCTTTTCTCGCAGCATGCCCCTTTGCCCTGATAGCACTGCAATTAGTCAAAGAGGACCTCCATTATTAGACACTGGGTGAAAATGAATGGAAATGAAAATTTTCCCATGCGTGATAGCAAGAAAATTAAAAAGGAAAGGAAGGGAAAGGAGTAGGAAATGAGGGGATTTCCCTCTTGTTTGCAAGAGTCCTGTGGAAAGACCAGAAGCGAAGAACCGGCCTATCACCAAGTGAGGAAGAGAAAGAGAGAAAAAACCAAGAGCTTTTTCTCGCATTTAACAAGCAGTTGCGAAACAAATGCCATCCCATGATGTAGTTATGTGTCTGATGACAGTTCAATTTGAAGTCGCATGTAGCGTGGAGAGAGCTTCAGGTAGACAACTTCTGAGATGTTCATAAATATCCAACCAGACATGCAACTCTATTGTGATTTGAATGTATGCTAAACACCAATCAGGAGCTTGGACATTTGCACTTCCCCTCGTTGATAAAGTTTCAGGTTTCATTATCAAATCGATTGGATATCTCTGCAATAAAAGATGGGCGCGGAAGTCTATGCCCATGCCGTTCGTAGTTCATGGCTACACAGTTCTGGCGTTGAGCTAAAGGATCGGGGAAACCACATCCGAAGAATAGCCTTGTTTCTTGCGTGGGGGGTTCATGACGGCATGCGGCGAGGAGCTACAGAATCTGGTGTCTTAGGAGTAGAATACAAGGGCCGGCCTAGCCTTGCACATGAAAGGCAGATCTAAAGTAGACGGCAAGCCCGCTGGCGTTTACTAACTATACCAACGAAAGAAAGTATGTGGAGCGCGTGTAAATGCGTAGCTTGAGCTAGGATTGATTCTTAAGCGGGAGGGCGGCCTTGGTTTCTAGAGCTAATTGTTAATTTTTCGTCCCAGAACATATCCAAATCAACCTACGTAAATATAGTACTTAAAATGGAGCTTGCGAGATTTACGAAAGATATTCTGCATTTTCAAGCACCCACTCCCAAGAGCCTTGGGCACAGTTAAGCTCACATTCGGATCCAGCAGTAAGGACCTCAACTCAACTCAAGAATTGGAAAGTCTTCAACAGCAACGCCCTTCATAACCACGTAATTTCCCCCACATATACCATTCTTCTGGCGTAGTAATATTTTTGGCGCATTCCTTGTTCTCAGCATAGAACTGAATGGAGGCCAGGTCTATGTCAATTGCAGGTTTGTCAATGACCACCTCCATCGTGTTTCTTCCAAGGTTTTCACTAGAGATCGAATCTTAGATTTCCAGTGACTTGAAACCAAGTTGTCCTTGCAATGATCGGGACAGCTATCAGAGGATTTAGTCAAAATTGTTCAGCGCATTTGGGGAAGCTGACGACTATTGCCCATGACCAAACATTTGTACCCCGAGCCCCATGAGTTTTCGGAGTGACCTCGTGAACTTCAGGGCTCCGGCATGTAAGCGAGGTCATTTTATATCAACAGATGGCTTGGTGGCTCCAAAAGAGATTAGGAATATCAAAAAGAAAATAATCTTAGAAGAGAGTTAACATATTGGAGCAACCAGTGAGTCTGATTACTGTGTTTACAGACATTTTGGTTGGTTTTGAGCTCGAATCCTCAAGTGACATTTCGCCATTTTCAGAACGGGAGTGAGGAGCAATACGTCAAGTCCAAAACCGATGCTAGGTATCTAGGACAAGATTTCAGAACTTCACCCTTACCAGTATAAACCAGCCATTTTACATAAACCGTAAAGATGTTGAGCACTCTTCATAATCCTTTTGATTTTCTTTGCAGCGAATGTCCTCACATTCTGAGCTTCCCAAGTGAGTTTGTAAATTAGCTGAGAAACATCATTGGTCCGGGGCTTGAAATTGAACTGGGAATGAAATCCTCCACTTCCCATATCATTGGATCGTTCTCAAGAAGTCTCTGCATGTCCAATTCGTATACAAATACGAGTATGCTCAACTTTAAGTCTCATCCTCAGGCGACCCACTAACAACATCCTGAGCGGTATTGCTGGATTATTCAATGGCGAGTCATCCATTAGAGCTGCCTTTTGCTGCGAATACGGATTTTCAGTGGACCAACAAGCTGGTGTCTGATTCCATTCTGTCCTGGCAAGTCAACTCTGGGGGTTGTCATGCTGGAAAGGGGCGCGAAGGAAGCCGAGAAAGGCAACATGTAGGTGAAGGCGCTAGATGGTGGCAACTTGCCAATGGAAGCAGAGGTCCGAGGGGATACCATACAAAGTAATGATACGTGGCTTCGCATTCCGACGTTCCATGATTCAACAGCAAGGACAATATCGATGAATGCTTTGAGAATGGCCGCATTATCAGGAGGACTCTGTCCGAAGCGAAGCCAACCTTGTGACATTGCGGCGCCAAAAGATTTGCTTGATATGTAGATTGACTTGAGATGAGCACCCATGCAAGGCAGATTGTTGTCAGGCGCATCGAAGAGAAGAAAAAAGAAAATGATGCAGCGCTCTCTCTCTCTCTCTCTTTTCTTTTCTTTTCTTTTTATTAATTCACTCAGTACGTTTCTCCATTCTTCACCACCGTCCCGACCTGCCGATCCATTACCAGCCTTACGCTCTCTCGACTCACAGCATCATTAGATCAGGGGGTGGGGGATAAAAAAGAAAGAAAGAAAAGAAAAGAAAAGAAATTGGTTCACTTTCAGAGAAACGTAGAAAAACAACATGCGGGTGTTTAATAAAAAAGGGGTAAAATAAGGTGTGGTTTTTCTCGGTCTTTCTCCTGAGAACCCGTTTCTCTCTCTCATTTTTCTGTTTTTGCTGACGATACTGGATTTAACTATTAGTTATTGCTGATCTAGTTAATCGGTGGTTCATGTCCGTAAAGATATGTTTTTTAAAAATTTCCTCACGGTTATTATTAAGGTTCTTTTGCGATCTTGGAAATCGGCGGTTGGTGATGTCAATGGAGAGATAACTAACGCATCCACACGAATGTCAGCCAATTGACAGGAGGCTCCACGGAACTTCCACGGAAGAGAAACATGGACTGTTCCACGGGAGCTGAAATGCTAATCCCCTTTTTGCCTTTCTTTTATTGGCTCTGTGATCTCATAACCGTTCTTCGCATGTATGCATCCTTGGATCTTCGTCCGTTTGTTGATGCCCGCATTCAATCATGGTTCTTTTCTTAAATAGAAAGCTCCAGGTGAAGAAAGGGCTGAGAAAAGTGATTTTTGAGATTGCCTGATGGCTCAAATGCTCACTTTTCAGGCTTTTTCCATCGGACCCAATCGTATCTTCAAAACCCGGATGGCCTGTTGTGACAATAGTGGTACGCAGATGATGCTCCCCATGGAATTGGTAATTCTCTGGAGGCCCGTGCCTCTTTTTGGGTGGCTCTTGGCAGGCAGCGATGATTCCCTGCTCTTTCCTCTCCGTAAGCACCATTTATATCCCCTGTCCGTCCGTAAGGCAGCTGCTACCTACTCTGATGGGAAAGGAAAGGGGCGCAAAATGTCTCAAAAGGGGCTCCCATTGAAAAGATGTATATGATTCGTGACACACAAATACAGTACTTTACGGGCATAAACGACAAAAAAAAAAATGATGAAGTAATAGAGCAAGCTGACTACAACAAACAGCATCTGGAATTTGAATTACAATCCGCCATTCGGCTGAGACATGTAGCAAGTATTTCCATGGACAACAGGCTCTATCGCTTGTGCTTAATCACTCTCGGGTAAACTACTAATTCCCCACCAACATTTCCGGAGTTAGAGTTCATTAAAGAGTATGTATGTAGTCATGATTTACGTTCTCCTGTCTCAGTGAAGGTTTTGTTCGTAATGACGATCGATGTTAATAATGATGAAGAGGATTGGGTGCGCGATATGTTTCAGTTAGAGATCCCATGTAGTCATTCTGTAATGTTCACAACTATGGATGACATGTAGCCTGTAGGAATTTCAGCAAAGTATATAGACAGGATGATTTCCATCGCTGGTGATGAATCATCATCGACGTAGGACATAACTACCTCCAAGCCGACAGCTCTGTGAGATGCTTGACTGGATTAAAGCCGGTGATGGGTAGTTGACCTCCTCGCCTTGAGGGGTAGTAGATCGTATTATTGGCGAGGGTTAGTTAGGTGTTGGAATCGTATTGTCATTCGGCATTTCAGGTTTGAGCGGCAAGTTTATGTTGAAAAGACTCCGCTTCTCAACGTGCGTTTACATAGCAACCGTTGAAAAGATAATTATTGCCTGTTTGTTTTAAACCCCTCGGATGATATCAGCGAGAGCATAGAATAGCGAACGGTGGCTTGATACGCGGAATTAAATGAAAACATGGGTTGTGGTGGTTTGGAGTTGGGGTAACAGCGACGCTGAGAGATCACACAACGTGGTGAACCCAAATTGTGGGATGATGCATCATCGCCAGATGCAACCATCGCGGCCCAAAATGAGGGCCAAGAACGGCTAAGCAATTATTCTAATCTTTCTTTTTATTTTCATTGCCTGATTTTCTTTCCCTCTCTCTCTCTCTCTTACTTTTTCTCCTTTTCTTTCTTTCCTTTTTTCTTCTTCGGCACAGGCGGCGTGTGTATATACACCAGAAATATGAAATCAGGTTTTTACCGGATGATTTCTCTTGTATGAACAAACATACAAATTTCTGGAGAAAGGCAGCATTGAGCAACGAGCATGGCGGTAAGCAGGATGGGATGGAGGTAAATAACTGGGAATTATTCGACAAGCGTCTGTCAATTGACATCACCACTGCTGCTAACTATCAGCAGGCAAGGAACGGCGTTGTCACTAAGAAAGCATAACTGGAGCGCAGCGAGTCTATCGCAAGGAGCTTTCAGCAAACTGCACCAACCGTCTGTCCAAGTCCGGGCTAGCGGGCTTCCATTGTCTGTAATCGTAGGCTAGTGATGGCTCGAGGCTAACAGAGGCCCGGGTTTGGGCGTCATTGGCTGCTTGCTGCGAAACCCAGTGTACAAACTACCTTGAGAGCAGCGCAGGTGAAAATAAAATGCCCGAGTTCGTCAGTGGCTGGTCTGCCTCATGCCTCTAAATAATAAAGCAGCCACCAATCACCATCACTATTTAATTACCCGCCAAGGGAACGAACTGAGAACGGAATATCCCATTCTTCCCTCATTGCTTCTTATTTTCGTTAGGACATTTACTTGGAAATGAAATTAGATATCTATGTCTGTGAGAAATACGGAGGTGTGGAACATAAGCAATGACTTACAGTGACGTGCGTTGCTTGGTGTACTGCAAATACCAATTACCCCACCTAGTTTGTATGGAATAAGAAGTAGCTTCAATATTCAAATAAACAAATACTCCATACTCTCTGTTCTTCTATCGTTGGTTCCCACCTCAACAATCTACCTCATATTCAAAGCCTTTTTCAACACCTACTTTAATCTCTACAAACACAATTATGCCACATCATTCTATTGAACTGTGAGTTCAAGCTCTCATCCTAGCAGTTAAAGGAGCTCCTCACGAACAAATGACAGCAAAAGAAGATTGGTTGAAGACCTGGAAAGAGCTTCCACATACAAAGATTCAGACATGGATTGAATGGATTGTGCATCATATTCAGGAGATTATACACTTGAAAGGTGGCAATGAATATAAGAAGGGCAATTCCAAGCTCACAATTGAAAAGATCAACAGCTTGCTGAGCATATTTCAAAGCAGCAGGATCTAGAAGATGGAACTCTAGCAGATGCTGCAGCTGCTCACTTTCAAGCTGCTGTAGATTTAACAGTGCTCTGTACAGGCTTAGATTCACTGCTTGAGGATGACACTTGAGAGGATGAGGCAGAGCTTGCAGAATAATTCATAAATTCATACGTTTGTAGAGTAGAGATTCCAGGGTATTTGTTTATTTGAATATCAAAGCTACTTCCTATTCCATACAAATTAGGTGGGGTAATTGGTATTTGCAGTACACCAAGCAACGCACGTCACTGTAAGTCATTACTTATGTTCCACACCTCCGTAATAGGTTTGTAAATATAAATTCTTCATACGGACGGAGTAAATAAAAGACATTGTCTTCATCCCTTTTTTTTTTATTATTATTATTATTTTATTTTATATTTTTGTAAATATTGTTGGAACTGAGAAAATACGGGCATTTTTGTACTCTGTATAACCCTGGAAATGGAAGTTCTGGGAGAAAACCTTGGAAGATCAGCTGTCACTAGATTTCGCCAGGTTCCAAAGAAATATCCATGGATGATGCCAGGGGAATGAATAGATGGAATAAAAGCAAGCAAGCCAAACCAGTTACCTGACTTTCTCTGGGATAAATCAGCATGGGCCGTTTTCTTTCTCGCCCGCTGGCAGTGTAGCAGAACAACAACCGTCTCTGGACAATCTCGAGTTTTTGGGGCAGACCGACATTTTGAAGTGAATGAATGAATGGGGAGAATATCCGGGAACATCCATGGATAGGTTGTGGATGGAGACAGGAATAATAGTTAACTAGTAGCTAATTATTAATAGAAAGGGAATGGAATGGATAATACTCCGTACCCGTCGATGAAAGGAGGGCCCCCAAACAAGGCTAATTTCAATTCTGACCAACTAGTTTAGTTATGTCATGTCATACCCATCGTGGTTTTGCTGGGGGGCCCCATTCCGGAGCTTTGCTCCTCCTCTACGTCATCGCTTGCCAAGCCCCAAGGGGACAAGGCGCACCTCCTTGTTGCTACTGCTTCCAGCGGGCTGTTGTGTTCTGACGACGGTTGTGCTCCTGCCAGCGCCAGAAATCCCCTAGATAGTTAGATCCATGCTGCTGCAGCCTCCTCTCCCCCCAAAAAGCACCTAACCTCAAGCAGCCAGCACCCAGCAGCCAACATCCAACATCCCAACATCCACTATTATTACTGTTACCGTTACTGCTGCTACCAACTATCTACAACAACCGCAAACACCGCATACGCTACTTAGAACCCGCTACACGACCCTCATCCCCGGGTTTATATCTCCATCAAATTCTCCCACCCACACTCTCCCACTCTCCCTTCCTCTCGGCATCTGTCAAGAGGCCCTCCCGCGTCACCGTATTTATGAGATGCCAGCCTTTGCCTGAGCTGTAGTCACCAGTTTCACGACGAGGATTGATTCTCCGGCAGTGGAGGAAGAGGAACAGGTGTCATTAGCAGCATGAGGACACCACCGCTGCCCTCCCCGGTCAATGTCCCGCCGTCGCCGTCCTTGGCATCCGCCAATCTCAATCATCATCGACTCCCCGCGAAATCTCACCCCGCCGCCAGCAATCCGGGACCCATCTCCGTGACTGACCAGGACAAATTGATGTCCTCCATGCATCAATATGTCTTTTCTGGTGGTGACTCGTCCGTGAAATCTTCTGTCGCTGGATCTTCCCTCCCAAAACATGGCCCTGTATCGCCTCTGTCTTCTCAAGCCTCTCGACATGGACGGCCCGGACTGCCACCCCGTGGTCAACGTCAAAGTATGCACACCCTGGAAGAATTGCGGAAAAGTATGGAAGCGACCTTTATCTATCACTCCCGCTCGGGCTCTCACTTCTATCCTCCAAGTTCGCGCCCGGATATGAAGTTGTCTCGAAAAGCCATGAAAGGATTCTCCTCTACGCCCTCATCACCCTCTGGCGCCCCAATCCCTCTAGGTTCACTAACAGATTCATTGAAGTCTAGTGTCTACATTGATTCTTCATCGTCGTCTCGCACAATTAGACCGTCTAAGAATGTAGATCCCTCTGAATTATCCGCATATCCTTTCCCTACACCTTCATCATATATTTCATCCTCTATAGACGGATCTATTGATGATGGCCGTCCAATCGCCAAACACTTTTCAAAAAGTTCAGCAAAGTCTCGAAAGAGCAAAGCCTCATCAACGACAAACACCCCTACGGGATTAAGTGGCTCGTCAGGGAAAGATCACTTCCTACCCCCCGATGCTGACCCTATCTTGGGTGATCCCAAATATCCTAACCCAAATCTCTATGACCTCTCATTGATGTTGAATTCCGAGCCTGGACTGGATGCTTGGTGGTCGAATGTTGTAAAGGCCCTTCATACGCATTTCGGTGCCGAAAGAGCTTCCCTAGCGGTTCCGGGAGATAGTACCGATTTGGAGAATGTGCCATGGAAACAAAAAGCTACGTTCAATCTGTTTCGCTATAGGAACTCTCCGCCGAAGGGGCCAATTCCATCTAGAGATCCAGACACTCCGTTAAAGGAGGATGCTTCTTCCCGGGGAGCCAACGAGCCGGATAAGAGGCAAAAGGAAGGTGACTCTTCAAAACCGAGCAGCCAGGCTCCGGCCACGTCGGCAAAACGTCCCTCTCTGACTGCGCGTCATTCATTTGCTGGATTTTGGGAACATCGGAATGTTGATATCCGTGACAAACCTGTGCCACTAGATAGACCCGTACGCATGGAGAGCTCTGTTGACTGGGCTTCCATACATCCTGGAATAAAAGTCTACAGGGATTCAGCGCCGTCGAGAGATCGTGTTCCAGGTCCACCATCTGATGATCAACCAACCCAACGCGGGCCATTACAGCCAGTCGCAAATCAGATAGAAAGCACCCCTTGTCCATCAGCTGTTGTTTTCTCAGTTCCACGTCCTTTGGAGGTCGAATCGGATCCTCTAATAAATCGAACAGACGTGGTGAAACTCTTTGGACACACAAAACCTGCTGTTTTAACTCGACAATATTCTCATGATCCGATGACATCACCACTACATGATTCTGTGACTGCACAGGCGGCGAGAGATGACTTCATACAGCCAACCCCTGGAGCTACCGTTTTAAATGAGCCAACGGGTTACAATATTTCCGTTAATCTAGCGAGCTTGTGCTCTGCGTCATGCAGAAGCACAACCACGCAGACAATGACGGAACTGCGTCGGCCTTTCCAATCTATCTCTTCATGTTCAGAGTCGTATGAAGAACGCGAACAAATACCCCAGTCACCGTGGTCGCAATCCCCTGTCCCTTCACCTGCTCCCCTGGAACATCCAGAGCAAAATCCATTTTTTGCTGGAGGTAAAGTTGATCAGGAGGCCCTTACCACGAACCCGCCATCGCACGATTATTTCAAGAATAAACCTGTCGAGGCCATTGGCGTTGACCGTTCCAAAACAGTAATACACATTCCTTTAATACATTTGTCGAAACAGGCAACCTCTTCAAACACACTTAAATTCCCGGTTGCCATAATTTCCATTCTCACTCCTACCATTCCCTACCCAGCGAACCTAAGGAACTCACTGGTATACCTCCTCCCCCACCTCACTACGTCATTCTCCCTGGCGCAGCAGTATAGTCAACTCGAGAGGCAACTTTCAAGCTCACGGACCCAGCGATTTGGCCACATCCTGGGACTTGGCGGAACCTTTTCTGATACCAGCAGTGAGATAGAATTGGTGGCAGAGCTTAGCAGCCATGTTAACTATACCATGGGGGAATATGTCCCATTACATAGCCATTCGACAATCTCAAGCCCGATTCAGCAATCTAACATGAGCAGACCCGAATCTTCGCTGTCAATGACCGGAAACCCAAGCTTGGAATTTGGTAGCAACTTCCAAACCCCTAGCTTCATGCCCAAAAATTCCACGGAGACATCTGATAGCTATTTCAATGTGAACCAGATGAGTGGCTTGACTAACCAACAAAGATTACGGCAACCAAATCCTATACGCAAACCGTCCGCTTCAATGACATGGTCTCCTCTACCATCCAAGGGTAAATCTACAGAGTTTGATGAGTTAGCTTCTAGTGATCTTGGTCTTGCCCTCAGCACGTCATCAAGAGCTCCTAGCACAATTACGACACCACAGGGATTTTCGAGATATCCATCATCTGCTTCGATTGCAACACAGCTGCATCGAGAACTTTTATCACGGCCAATCCCAGACACCATATCCCAGCTAATTCTCAATTCAATACCCTTGCATTTATTCTTAGCGAGGCCTCGTACCGGAGAGGTGATTTGGACTAATGATAAATTCGATCTGTACCGAAGAAGTCAGCCCCAGGAGCAACGTGCCAAAGATCCATGGCTTGACGTGCATGAGAGCGAGCGCGAGAACCTGCTGAATAAGTGGGCTCAGGCACTTCGATCCGGGTCACAGTTTACAGAGAGAGTCCGAGTCAAGCGGTACAACGACGAGTCAGCGTATCGGTGGTTCATTTTCCGTGCGAACCCACTGCTTTCCCAGACAGGAGAGTTGCTCTATTGGATTGGGTCATTTCTTGATATCCATGAGCAACACATGGCGGAAATGAAAGCAGCGCAGGAGAGAGAGATGTTTGCAACAGATGCAAAGTACAAAGCATTAGCCAACTCAATACCTCAGGTAGTATTTGAGGCCTCGGAATATCGTGGGCTTATCTCAACCAATGAGCAGTGGCAGCTTTACACTGGACAGTCTCTGGATGATGCTCTCAACCTAGGATTTGCAAAACACATTCATCCAAATGATCTTGAGAGATATGGCATCTTACTCTCTCCAGGAACCATTCCAGAGCGTGACAATCCAACCGAGTCTAGTTGTAACATCAATCCATCGCAATCTCCAAAAGCGTCCAACGAAAATCCTGAGTCGGGTTCAAGCGGGTCAGCGACCGAATCTACTCCATCTTCGCGATCCAATTCACTTCGTGATGAAAATGGTGGACGTACGAAATATCCTGGGTTGACCCTTGCACTTGAAGAGCTGGTTGAGAAGGGCGTAGTTACGATGCAGAAAGACGAAAATGGCAGGGTTTCGTACACAACTGAAATCAGGTTTCAGTCTAAAGGTGGGGATTTCCGATGGCATCTTGTACGTCTCGTGAAAGTCGAGACTACAAATTTCGGCGATGGCGGAGCTTCTTGGTATGGCACTTGTACGGACATAAATGATCAAAAATTGCTGGAACGCAAGTTAAATAAGGAGATGGAGTCGAGGACCAATTTCTTCAGCAACATGTCCCATGAGATCAGAACACCGCTGAACGGCATTCTGGGGGCGATTCCACATATTTTGGATACACAGCTTGATTCTGATCAGAGGCGTATGCTTGATATCATCCATAACAGCTCTAACAACCTGAGTGAACTGGTTGACAACATTTTGGATGTGTCCAGAGTCGAAGCTGGGAAGATGAATATTGTGCGTCAGGTGTTCAACGTTCGCTCGGTCTTGGAGGAAGTGATAGACACGATTGGATCGAGGGCAATGGACAAGGGACTTGAGTTGAATTATCTGGTTGAATCAAATGTTCCAAAAATGGTGTTTGGGGATAGATTCCGAATTCGCCAGATCCTCCTGAATTTGATGGGTAACTCTGTCAAATTTACGTCTCATGGAGAAATTTTAACGCGCTGTTCAATCCACCACGACTCCAACGCTTCTTTGAATGGATCGGAGATTCTTTTGAACTTCGAAGTTGTTGATACTGGCAGAGGATTTAGCAAGGCCGATGCCAAGCGGCTAATGCAGAGGTTCAGCCAGATTGAAGGGAACGGGTCTCAGCAGCACACTGGAAGTGGGCTGGGCTTGTTCTTGTCCAGGCAGCTTGTTGAAATGCATGGCGGACAGCTAACGCCGACAAGCAAGGAGGGTCAAGGTTCCAAGTTCTCATTCTTTGTCAAAGTGGATGAAGTTTCGTCCCGGCCCCCGACTCCACAGGAACTGTTCAAAGGTAGCAATGCCGCTCTATGCATGCAGGTTACGGAGGAGAGAAGTGCTCCGAAGAGCCCGTTCTCGCATGAGTTTTTGTTCAGTCCAGATACAATGGACTTGCGCCCTTCGTCAAATCTGGATGTCTTGAACAAGCAAATTTCTTGCTCGCCAATGTCGAATCCGGATACACCTAACTCGACGTTTCGCGGCACAACTCCATTAGAGACTAGTCAACCTGTGGAGACTGGACTTTTGGGTATATCCCCCCTACCAGCAACTGAGACTGAAATTAACGTTGCCAATGCCTACCCTCAGGAGTCTACACCTGTCCATTCCTCGTCATATAATGTACTGTTAATCTGTCCCTTCGACTTTGCCCGTGAGGCCATCAGAAAACATATCGAGCAAGTGATTCCTTTCGATGTCACATGTAATATTACTTCGATCCTTCATATGGAAGATTTGAAAAACATGGTTGGCAGAGGCGACTGTCCAAATTTCACGCACTGGGCCATCGACCTCTCGGACATCAACGACGTCAAAGAAACTATGAAACTGGTTCTGCAGTTCAACAGTAATGCTCTCACAACACCGGCAGCGTCACCGACACTAATAATTGTCTCTGACATCAGCCAGAAACGTGAGATAAGAGAGGAATACGAGAAATTCCTCGCTCTTGGAGGTAACATGTTCATAGTTCCCAAACCCATTAAGCTCTCGTCGCTCTCAAGGATCTTTGACCCGTCTGATCAACGAGAATTGAACAAAGATCGGAATCAGGATACAGTGCGAGAGATGAATAATAGTTTCAAGATGATGTCGAAAATTGTTAAGGAGGTTGTTGGGGATAAGGGATATCGGGTCTTACTTGTGGAGGATGATGAGACTAACCGGACGGTATGTGGATTAGGACCCTTTTGGGGAAGTCCCCTTTTAAGCAAATTCTCTAATTTTTCCCTCCTCGTTCATAATAGGTCATGTTGAAGTATTTGGAAAAGGTCAAATTGGTCTCTGAAACTGCCAGCAACGGACAGGAATGCGTTGACATGGTCTTCTCCAAAGAGCCTGGCTATTACTCACTGATTATCGTAAGTCCATTTTTATTCCCTATTCTCAAAATACTTGGGTATTACATCCTCTTTACTCCCACACCAACCAGCTAGCTTACCATGACGCCCTCCTTCCAATATTACATAGTGCGACATCCAAATGCCCATCAAAAACGGCTACGAAACCTGCCAAGAAATCCGCTCCTGGGAGCAAAGAAACCACTTCCCGCAAATCCCCATAATGGCCCTCTCCGCAAACGCAATGACTGATCAGATCGACAGTGCCTCCCGCGCCGGCTTCAATGACTATGTCACAAAGCCTATTAAGCATAATGAGCTTGGTAAGATGTTGATGGAGCTGTTGGACCCGAGCGTGCCGCACGTGTTGCTCAGGGATCAAAATAAATTGAGGCGGGGTTCGACATCAGCTGTGGAAGCAGCAGTGTCGAAGCCATGAGGAGTTTTGAGGTTTGGGGGATGCTGAAGTGACAAAATCCTATGTTACACAGTTTCTTTCTTTTATTCATTTTTATCCATTTTATATTTTTACTTCTTATAATTGGTAACGCTAGGGGAATAGAGGGAAGATGTGAATATTTTCTCCATCTTGCTGCCGCTGTTCATCGAATCCATCATGTCAGCTTACTTCTCACTCTCACTATCACTCCCATCCGCCTTTTCCCTTGTTTTGTATAAACTACCGTATTCAACATTTAATAGACAAAAGTGTTTTTTTTTTTTTCTTCTCATCTCCTTTGTTACGGGTTCAATTTTCCATCTCTGGCGGCGGGTATGGTAGAAATAGGGACTTAATGCTTGTTTTCTTATATAGGTTCTTCCAACTTGCTCAAAAAAATTGGTTTTCTTGGGATTCTTGTATGTCACAAAAAGTTTCTTGTTTTTTCTTTGTGTTCTTCTCTTCATGATTTTTAGAATTACATTGCTTGAAGTATGCAGGCAGATTGAACATTTTCCTTTTTTACCTTTACTCAATCTTCTCATTTTCATCATCCTTCCCTTCAGTTGTACATATCTTTTGTTTTATTATTTCCCACACTTTTCTTCTAATATTCTCCCTATTCTTGTCAATGTATTATTCCCTTCAGTTTATATATATATATATATATGTGTATATATATATTCATATTCTCTTTCATCATTATTTACATTTCTAATCTTCAGATAATTATCTCTATTCAGCGATCTGCAAATCTGCCCATATGCGACTTCTGCTTCATATGCTGTTGGAATTTTGAGAGAAGTATAGGTATGCCAATGAAGATCTTGTTCAATTTCACTGAAATTGTTCAGGTCTTGATAAATGAATTATGAAAATCATTGTTTTATCTCTATCTTCGCGAGATGTATTGCTGAAGCTACCTCGGCCTACACAGAATCAGTGACAGCAAGGTATAACTTCAGATTCAGAAACACTACCAGCCATCATCTATCTATCTTGGGAATTATATTCCTGCATCATCTCCTGTCCCACAAAATGGAGACTAAGCTCAAAAATGGTGGCTGTGCCTACCTAGGACACAAATTGTTGAGGGAAGATCCCATTGCTGCCAATACAGCGAGAAGTAGGTAGGTATGTTTTCCAGACCCTATCAGCGGCTAATCATCCAAACCTTTGCCTATGGCTTATACCATCAGCTACGTCATGGTTCGCAGGGAAAGCTTGACTTGTCTGGTGTTGTCCAATGTCGTGCTTAAACCCAGATTATTGCCATGGAGGCAGGGTCTTCACCCCAGGGGCAGATGACTGATTTCTAATTTCCCTTTCACATTGGAGTCTTCATGATGATACCGACAGGGGGGGGGATACGATAACTACCGTGCTTGACATAACAGGTACTTTTTTTTATTATTATTATTAAATGGAGTCTTGACTAAGACGTGATGCCTATAACTAACTATATCTTGCTTCGATTGAAAAGCGGACGCAGATATTGATATGTCCTGCTTTCCATTGGAGGCGAGTCGTATAGTTAATAGTATAAGGAAATACTGCGTACCATGAGAAGGAAACAGAACAGAGGAAATAATCGATATATATCTGCTCCGTAGCTCTTCTAGGCGTATATGGATCTGCCTGTACTTTACATGTACAGCACTTACTGCACAAGCCTTGGACTATTCACGCAGAGGTTTTGGCGGTGTAGAAGGGGAAAATTCCGGCAGCAACGTGGACGTACGAAGGAAAACCTGATCTTGTTCCGCTAAGAATCGACGGTAACTAATGCTTTCAGCTTCCTTTTGCCTTTTTAACTACGGGTTTGGTTTCGTCCCCCCAATGTGTTCCAAGAGACAGTTTCATCTCTTTTTCGTGAACAGCAGCAGAAGGTAATAGTTATGTGGATCATGGATCATTGCGCCGTGAAGCTTCCAATTTTATCGAGGGCTAGTTATCTTCAAGCAGTTAAACCCCCAATAGAATAAACGGCATCCGCACTGTAGTTACGGCACATATCTGAATATCCGATCCACACTCCGATTGCGAAGGCAGAAGGGTGAAAAGGGTAATAAATTCCGTTTCCAACCGCCACACAATCGTAACATTAACAGGGAAATCAGACGCTCTGCCCAAGGAAGTTGGGTGGTTTTGTATGAAATGTACTCCGTACGTAGGTAGCTAATAGTTAAGTATTCTTGCATTCACTCTTCCTTTCCCTTCTCCTTTCGTCATTATTGGTCTTATTAGTTATTATTTATTTATTCTCTCCCCCGCCGATTTCGTACGTTGTGTGTTTCGTGCGTAATGTGTCATTAGAATGGGTGAGTAAATAGTTAACTAAAGTTTCTTTTCTAACTAACTACCAGGAAACTCCAGGCCCTGTGAGTATTTTTATTTTTATTTTATTTTATTTTTTGCAAACTGGCACAATAAGTTAAAATATCTTGTGCTGCGCGCATTGAGTTATACGAAATTAACAGCGCCTAACATACGGAGCACACTGATGAAATCATCTCTACCCAACGGATAGCGCCATTCTCCGATTTGTATATCCTATGCTGCTATCCCTCTCAAAATCTCTCTCCTATTTACCAATGACTTCTATTCCAATCACCTGCATGTAACTAAACCCCATGAAGTTCCAGGAATCTGTCCCCAGATCACCCGCCAAGCCATCATCCATCAGGAATGTCCCTTGCGAGAATCAACCGTCCTCCCACTATAATAGTTTTTCTCAGGAAAAAGCGCCCACAAGAGATAAAAGAGGAAGCCTGAGCAAGAAATAGCAGCAGATCAAACAGATCAAAAACCACCATTGAAACCCAAACTCGCCTGCCCATATATAAGAACCAATCCGTCTTGGGCCCCATACCCAACCACACCGCAGCAGCTAGCGTTGGACATAGTTATTCCAGACAACCGTCTTGGAAAATCAACCACAAATAAAAACTTTTGAAAAATATTGAGAAAAATAATCGTTTTATTTTATGTTTGTGATTGATTTTTCAAAATGACTGAAAATTTTTATTTTTTTCAGTAAGCTAATCAGCCTAAGAATAAAGTCAAGAAAATGAAGCAACAAATTGAAGCAGAGAAAGGTTAACCAAATAAGAGAAATCAGTTGAACTGACGCTGAAGATGTTTAACATAAATGATGTAATTGTTAATCAACATCAATGTAAATCACTCTCCTGCCATACAACCTTTGCTTGGTGCCTTCAGTGCATTCATTGTTTAACTAAACTATCTGCCCTGTTCCCCCAAACGACATCAGATAATAACTAATTATTAGTGTCCTGCCCAATGTCCCGATTTTATATCCACCAATCTCAACATCTAATCAGCTAGCTAACTGTCTGTCTGTCTACTCTGTACGCGCATTACTCAAACCATCTGCACTTTATTATACGTGACATCAGCTAGGTATACGATACACCCGCCGAAGACCACCCCCACACCCTGAAAATAATACCCACAACTATAATTAACCGGACCACTGGCATATCAACCAACGGCCATTGGCACATCCATCAACAGCCAAACCCGTCTGAACCATATCTTTGCGCCTAATAACTAACCCAGGATCCAGCCAACCAAACCCGCTTACCAGCCGCAGCCCGATCCCAATAAGTCCTCGCCGCCTTTAGCCCTGACATGCTGATCCTAATCCTGTCACCCATCACATCATATCCCTAAACTTACCATGCCTTCTTACCACCACACACACACAACTCTCTCCTCCACTATTTCCCCCCCTTATCCTAACCGCCGTGATATAACTGGCTGATCCCCGGATTGCTGAGGGAGGATGGTTTTTTGCCGGTGTTCCACAAAATGCTGGCCCAAAATAACAAGAATAAAAAAGATAAAAAAAAAAAAAAGAAGTAAGAAAGAAAAAAAAAAATCAACAAAAGCGACTACCAACTTGCTAGCCGGGGGGTGGGGGAGGGGAGGTCTGTGTAGCCATGAACTGACTGGCTGACTAGACTAAGATGGAACTGGGACGGCAAACGACCGGGGCCTTACCTAGGTATATACAGTACTAACCGGGGCCCTAACCTGCTGGGGGGAGGGGGGGGAGGGGGGGAAGGGGGGGAAGGGCTTCTGGACGTTGGTGGACGGACTGGGTGAGCGGGGTCAGCCAAGTGTCGCAGAGGCCAGTCGGGGATCGGGAATAGGAGAGCGAGCGGTGGCCAGGGGGGAAAGGGAGGCGAGAGAACCTAAGGTACTGTACCTATATACAGTATCATTACTCGGTGCCAGCCTAGGCGTATATATAGAGAAGGGAGGGGGGGCAAAGCGCGCGGATTGGGCTGGGGGAGCGTCCCACACAACTTCCGAAAGGGGCAAAGGGGGGGAACCAACTTTAGATAGGGGCTGCCGGGATGGGAAAGGATGCGAGGGGGTGGGAGAGGCGGAAGAGGGCACACGCCATTGGATGGAGGGGTTTGTGCGTGTGTGCGTGTGTGCGTGTGTGCGTGTGTGCGTGTGTGTCTGTCTGTGTCTCTCTCTCTCTGTGTGTGTGTGTGTGTGTGTGTGTGTGTGTGTGTGTGTGTGTGTGTGTGTGTGTGTGTGTGTGTGTGCGCTCTTATTGCTGGTGCCCTTGGTACTTCTTCTCTTTCCCTCGTTCCCGCTTTCTCCTCTTGTCCTCATTTCCTTCCCTTCCTGCCTTCTCCTATCTCTTCCTGGGTATTCCTGCCCCTTCCGTACTCAAACCCCCCTTCATCCCTTCCCAAGTTTCTCGCTTCCCCTTCCTGAATAGGCATGATGGCTCTCTCGTGTGGGTATAAAAGGGTCCTCCTTTTCCTCCTCCTCGTCTTCCTCTTCCTCTTCCTTATTTTCTCCTTCTCCTCTTCATCCTCACTGATTTCCCCGGCTTCCCTCCATACCCCATACTATATCCACTTCTCCGAGTTCACTGTCCCCAACGACAAGCACCTCTACCCTCATACACCCTTTTCGTATCTCATCTCATATCACATACCCCTTGAGAGATATACTCCCTGCTGTTTTCATTTTAATGCTTGCTTGATATCCATTGTTTGCTCCAAATCTTCCCGCAAGAGAAAATCTCCTGTACTTTTCCGCGCTGCAATCCGCTATTTGCTAGCTTTTCAAACTTTTGCTTCTCAGCTGAGCAAACTTGTTCCCATCTTGCTCTCCAACAACAATAAAAACTACCCCAGAAAAAGAAACCAGGGAGAATCCCAGTTCTTCACAAAATCAGCCATAATGGATTCCGTCCGAGGAAGTTATTACCATCCCACTTCTCTCCCAATTGCCATGCTTTCAAAGACTCCGGCCCCCGCAAATTTTTATCCCATCTCCCGTGTCGCTGGCTCTCCTCCAGAAATCTCCGATGCCAGCACTACTACCGGCAGTGCGAGCGGAGAAACCTTCGATACCTCCTCCCGGGGTTATTCCGGTGTCGATGTCATGGACATGCTGAATGACCGCATGTCCAATGTTTTCGACCCCAACCGTCTGGATAAAGGATTATCCAAACAGGCGAAACTGTGAGCATTCTCCGAGCCGAAAATATTATTAAACCGGCGCTGGCAAAATTTTCAGAATTTCCCCATTAAGCCAAAAAAACTAATTCCCGCTGCAGTTCCGGCCACCTCAATGCCAAACAACAAGAACTTCTAGAACTCCAAGCTCTTGCCCAACGACGGCTCACAAATGCACGCGCCAATTTTTCTGATGGCATCAAGGCTGCCAAGGAGACCAAGCAGGACCTTGAATGGACCCAGAAGCGTGTCAGGTAGGTCGCCGCATTACCTGTTGTCTTTGTGTCCCCTGCCCCAAATATCGTAACCCCCATCATGTGGACTCCGCTCCGCCCTCGCGGAATATCATTTCCGCCGCGCTCCGCCATCACATCGCGTCTTGGCATTTTGGTCAGAATGCGAAATTTGTGGAATTCCGATATTTTGCATTTTGAAACCGCAACACTTGGATTTTTCGCCTTTCTTCGTAAATTTTTGTCTAACTGTATTTTAGTAACTTGAAAGCGAAAGCTGAACGGTCTCTGCCGAATGAGTACCGCGCCGCAACAAGCAAATATGCCTGTCACAACGGCTACTGACCTTGGCCAAATTTTGATACCCCTGAATTTCTAGCTTATGATTTAATGACTTTTCGATAGCTTACGACTGGTGGGATTGTACTATTCGCCATCAAAATTTTCTCTTTTCTCAGATTTTCGTCACTTGGGAATTCGGAAGGCTACTTTGGAAATTTTTCTTCGCAATTTCAATTCGCCACTGCAGGCAAACTCTTGTAGGAGGGGCCATTTGTGCAATTTGAACATGTATTCTGATTTTCGTTTCTTTTCTATTTTCTCTTCTTCTTTTTTTGTTTTTGGTTTTTTTCATCTTCTGGTGGTCGCGATCTCTATGTATCGATTTTATACTCCCCGTTTCGAAATATGAATCTATTTTATAACCGATTCAGCCCCCAAACCCAGTTTTCTTTGCTTTTTTTTTTGCTGACGATGATTCTCGTCCGGGCCAGCGAGACAACCGGGATTGCAATGATTGTCCACTATGGACCTTGCCACTTCTTGTTATGACGGTTACTATCCGGGCCATCGCATCTACGTGTCTGGGTTCTGCACAAGCCTCCAGTCCTACAGCTCCCATCGTCTCAATACTTGCCAGAATGAAAACGACAGGTCACATGAACGTCACGGGGACTAGGCCGAACGCTTTCCCTCGACTCATCGATCCGGCCCTGGAAAGCAGAGCCGAGATTATCTTGCGTGGTGTGTACCAGCGGCTCCACTATGGCTACCCCTTCCATCTCCGGATGGCATCTCCCCCCCCCTAGCCCCCTTCCGTACGGTGGACGGGAATCCCACCCACCGCTGTTTCCGCTCCACCCTACGTTTTCGTCCAACTCTCTTGCCGCTTTTGCGGGCCATTCTCTTAGCCCCCTACGCCCCCTGACAAAGCCGGCGCGTCTAAGTACAACCAATGGGCCCACCCATCATCCACCCCCACCAACCCATGGACCCTGGAACCCATAGACCAGTAACTGCAGCATTTGATCTGCAGGGGTGAGATGCAGTGACCAGCTTTGGCTTGGCTTCGGCTATTGGTACAGTATTGTATTTATGTGTATGATACGTGCGTACTAAGGTGTATACAGGTTTAGTCTTATGGCGTAGACTGTAGGTACAGTAGATGTATCCAAGCAGGAAGTAATGCATGGGATAGTCACGGGTGGATACACTGCAACATGGCGCCCCCACTTTGTGTATGATACTATGCAAGGGGCAGGGTAGAGGGTTGGGCGAGGAGGGTTATAATGAAGCTTCTAGAATGCAGGACTTTCTTTAAATACTTATATAAGTTGACAAAACTGTTTGTAATCATGATATAGAAGTATTCTAGTCATTTTACCCCTCTTTCACTCACATTGGTTCCGAAGCCTATCTTTGATATCCATCCCTGTCCTCATGTGCAGAGTTGGGAAGTGAGATGCTGGTTGTAGGTGCAATTTTTATAGATAAGGTAAGCAGTCTGCTGATGACTTTTCAACAGCATCTTTCTCTTTTCTCATTTTATTTAATTTTATTTTAATTCTTTTAGAATAAAAAGAGACAATAAATAGATGTTAAAAGAAGTTTAAATGTGAACATTTCATCTCATGTTCTTATACTCTCACTACTTCTGTAAGCATGCATGTATATATACTGAAGAATATGACAATGAAGACTATCATACATACACATAATTATCAGTTATATATATTCTTATAAATTAAAAGATCTTTTCTTCTTCTTCTTCTTCTTCTTCTTCTTCTTCTTCTTCTTCTTCTTCTTCTTCTTCTTCTTCTTCTTCTTCTCCTCTATGCCTCTGGATTAGCTTGTGCATATCAACATTCATACACATATGTTACGTGAGGGTGGTGATAGGGAAAATATTAAGAGCATATCATAAAATGTCGTATGCTTTCTCAACTCTGTTTGTCTTTTTAGCACTTAGTACGTCAATAAGTGTCTTTCTATGTGTTTTGAGAAATAAAAAAACATAGATATTATGATCAAGGTTAAAAAACCAAGGCTAACATTCTTAAATTATGTTGTGTTTATTTGGAGATGGAGCTGAGAGCAAGATTAAGAGAATACACTTACAGCAATCATCAAGAAATGAGAGATGGAATTGGAAATAAGACTATGCCAAATATTCCCTGCTCATTTGAAAGCAATATCATCACATTCTTCCATTAGGGTATTCTGCTATGAATTAGTAGCCACTGTTTTCCTCCCACGCTAAGCGTCTTGCATAGTCATCAATATCATACACGTACTCCGTAGCAGCTATACATATTAAAGCTTGCTAACTTTCTGCTCTTCACATGTCCAAGTTAGCCGTCACATTCATAATCCCTTCTACATTTAAGGGGAAAACCCATGGAAGACAAAAGAAGTACCACTTACCATCTCAATATATCCACATTCGAACTCCTAACTCTCACCTCCACACCGAACCTCAATCCTCACCCTCCTCCAACTCTGCCCACGGATCATCCTCGATAAAGCTTGGCTGGAAATAAACCATGTCGCCATTTTGGTTCCGCACGCCGAACTTGAGCTCTCTGAGCTCCTGGGGTGTAAGGACGGTGCCATTGGGCGCCTGGTAGTCTGTGGTAGGGCTTGGTGTCCTATTCACATTGCTTTCTCTATGCCTATGTGGATGGGCGGTGCGAGTGGTCGCTTCGGCTCCTGTTGGGGGTTTTGGTTTAGTAGGTGTGTGGGGTGGAGAGGCGGGGGCAAGGGGTGTGTGCATGCATATTGCATGCACAAAATTAAATGCCCTGTAGAGGAAGTGGAAGAAGAAGGGGAAGGTGAAGTAAGTGCGTAATTGATAACCTTTTTCTTTCTTTCTTTTTTTTTTTACACACCTTCAGGTCCATTTTCCTCACCATGTTGCTGAGTCTTCTTCTTTCCAGTTCTTTTCTGGTTTGGCGACATGTTATTGGATGTATTGCTGTTCTCAAATTCCTGAAGATAAGCTTCAGGGGTAATATATCCTTGCTCTGTGGAAAAGGGTGGGAATTTTCGTTTGGTTCCGGCGGAAGTTGGAAATGGTGGACGGGGGGGTAATGGTGGTGGCAATGTCGATGGTTGGGGTGCTGGGTATGGAGGATATGTAGGATTATTTTGAAGTGAAGTGTGTTGGGGTGTGGATGTTGATGATGTACCTCTATCCTTGCACTTGTTCTTAGGCTGGGTTCCAAATTCAGTGAATCCCATCACTGTGGCAACATCAATATCTTCTGTGTTAACTTCTGCCATTTTGAAGGCAGAGAGACTGAGCCAATTTACTGAGTGCTCTGATCTCTGGATGAATGTATATAGGTGTATGTATTTCAGGGGTCAATATTGTCGTTGGGATATCGCCACAGAAATGTAATAAGTGTCCAGAAATGTTTGAGGTTGATATTGAAAACTTCCTTCACTTATTATCACCTTTGCATCTGAATACGGATAGGTGTATTTATGAAAAACTTCTCTTTTTAAATAAGGATAAAATAGTGATGCATAAGATGGGATGATGTTGATATTCAAGCTTTTGACTTTGCGGAGCTTTTTGCTTGACGTTGAAGCTTCAATTGCTCCAGTAAGATATAGAGATCACGTGACGTTTCCACACTACAACAGCTGGCTCCGAAGATCTTCCCAGCAACAATGAGATCCACATACAAGAGTGACAAATGTTCCAAAAAAAAAAGTGATCACATAAATCTTATAGTACCCTCCTCTAAAATGGAAAACCTATAACGCTACTTGGTATAGAATCAAGAATCATAAACATAAATCTTCATAACCTTCCATACACCATCACGCACAGTTCAGCTCATCAATTGCCCTCGCAATAACAGAGGCAAATCGGCCTGCCCTATCTGTATCCTGTTTGGCCGTGCCAATCCCAAGGAGCACCTTCTTAATTCCAACCCCAATCCGCTCGCTCTGCGTCAATCCCCGCAGCTCCGCCAGAGCACCGTCTATCTCCTCTGAAGAGAACGCCTGTGTCTCTTTCAGGATGTACGACAGTTCAGAATAGGTATTCACGTTCGGGACACGGATATCGGAATTGAAGGAGCTAAAAACGTCAAGTTGTTTCAGGATGGAACGTTCGGTGGTCGTAGCGAGGATGAGCAGGCGACGGTCCTTTGGCGGTTGTTTTCTCAATAGCACCATAACCGTTTGCAGGACTGTGTTGCTGAAGCGTGGGCCGATGGGGACCCAGTCGATGATTCGCTCGATGTTATCCATCACTATGACGCTGGTAGGACTCTTGTACGCATCCATGAATACCTTACTCATGTGCAAAACTTTCGCGGCCTCGCCGTACCCGAGCATGTCTTCAGGAGAGATGAGTTTGACGAAGGGGAAACCCGAGTCAATGGCGATTTTGGCAGCTAAAGCTGTCTTGCCACTGCCTGGAGGTCCATGGAGGAGGACTGAGAAGAGAGAGGTTGTTGACTGAGGATCGCGCACCTGGTTGACAAATAACTTGCCTTCGCCTAGGATACTATTGATCTCTGGAGAATAATCTATGATGCCGCCGTGGAGACAACTTTCAAGCTCTTCTTCAGAAATACCAAACGCTGGTTTCACCTCCTCAAGAGCATTGTGAAAGTCTTGGCGGTTAACCTTCATATTAACAATATCATCGCTGATCCCGGCCATGGTGCCAACCTTTACATGACGGTTGAATGCGAATGACGATGCTGACTTAACTAAACCGCTAATCTCAGCCCCTGAAAAGTTCTTTGTCAGCTGAGCCAGCTCCAGGAGATCAACATCTCTATCCATCACGTCGTTTTCTCTCATCTTCTGCGTGTGGATTTTCAAAATTTGTGCTCGTCCATGCTCATCTGGCAACGAAATTTCCATATGAACTTCCAGACGACCTGGCCGCAGCAAAGCGTCATCAATCATATCCATACGATTGGTCATACCAATGAGGAGGATGTTGTTTAATTGGTCGACACCGTCCAGCTTTGACAGAAGCTGGTTAACAACACTGTCACCAACACCCGTTCCGCCACCAGCACCGCTACCGCGCTGTTTACAGACAGCATCCAGCTCGTCAAAAATAATGATATGAAGCCCACTCTCATCCCCCTTTTCTTTGTACTCCTTTTCCGCGTCCGCAAACAGTTTTCGAATATTTTCTTCGGACTGTCCGACATATTTGTTTAAAACTTCGGGACCGTTAATGACCTTGGGCTCTCTTGCGTTGAGCATTTTGCCGATTTGTCTAGCAATTAGAGTTTTCCCCGTTCCAGGAGGCCCATAGAGCAAAATCCCCTTGACGTGCTGAATGCCCAGCTTCTCAACAAGGCCGGGGGGGAAGATGCGAGAAGCGAAAGCTCTCCGAAAGATAGTGCTGAACTCCATATCTAGGCCACCAATACCCATGTTTTCGAATTTGAAATCCGGTTGAATAATTGAATTTGCTGCAGGTCTCCGGTTGGAAGGCTTTACGTTGATGCCTGTCTTTGCATCTTTGAAAAAGTTGATCAGAGTAAATGAAGTTAGGATTCCTCTCGCGTGAGGATCCGACGTTGTCGGGGCCGATGAGGATTTCGATTTCTCTGAAGCTAAGTTCCCGAGTTGGACAGTTTTAACCGTTAATAGTAGAGGGATACTCTTGTCATCCATCAAGATCTTTTGGCCAGGTGCAAGGATTTGGTTTTCAAAATTCTATATATTACCAGTTAGTCATGATATTACTTGTTTCTTCAGCCACAGGAAACCAATACTCACTCTGGTGACTACCGCAGCCAGCTGATCCTGATCATATGGCGTCTCTGTCCTCTTTTTGCCAGCAAAACCTACTTCCACATCCATGGAAGCAAGGTATGCTTGTCCTCCTTCACTAAAAATGTCATAGCGCCGAACGGTGACCATATCTGTCAAAGCGACTTGAGCCCATGTCCTTTGCGGATCAGACATGCTAATATGCCCTAGTGGAAACCCATCCAGGGGTCGCGCAGAGAAGACAAACATATCATTGACGAGAACGAGGACATCTGAACCGTCGCGGGAGGGAGGAATATCGCGAGGCGATACCGCTACCCTGGAAAAGAGCAGATCAACTCGTTAGCATCACATACCATGTAAAACCGTTAAACTAAGCCAATCCATGAAGAAACCAAAACCTACAAATTTCCGTATGTATACGAATTATCCGGGCTCTTCGCGGGACGTAGAGACCAGACTTGGTCGTCCATGCGGGTTGGTGGCACTCTGTTCTGACCCCATCCCAAATTCACGGGCTGCGGCGGGGGCGGGGGTCCGCGGGCCATATGGGATCGGTCGTAGTTCCTTTTGTCATCATAGCCATCAGCCATCTGAATGTCAGAATCAGGTCGACGGAGTGGAGATCCATACCCTCCACCCATTCGACGATCCGGTCCATAACCAGATGGCGGTTGGTTAGGGCTATTGTAGCGCTCCCGCGGCGGGCCTGTCCTATCTCCCTGTTGGGCGGGGCTGCTGGAGCCAGAGCCAAAGGGACTCACGGAGGAAAAGTTGTTGCGGTTAAACATGGTTTCTCTGGGAAAGTGGTTTAATTGTGGCTGGGAACATAGGAATTAGATGAGTCTCCAGGCCATATATATACCAGTTATCCTGCTGATGAAGAGAACACGTTTGTTCAATTATCCCAACGTGCAGGGTCCAGCTTTTGATGTAGTTAGGTGGAGAACTTGCAGCAAGGGTTCAACAGGCAGATGTACATTAATAGGAACAGATTAACAACTAGCAAATATAGAATGGGAAAATTCCACAGTAACTGTCAGACTAAAGCTAAAGTGATGTCAGTCCAACGCCAGACAGTCTGCAAGGGTAAGATAGGCATCAAGAGCGCACTCTGTAGTGTTAGGACAAGACGTAAGATTTGATGACCTGCTGTTGCATGATTGGATAGTTGCAGCCACACCGTGTTATACTTGCGCCACTGAATTAGGTAATGCTGCGGCGCGACTAACTAACTAGTTAAATCTCCGGGCTTGGTAATTCAACAATGTCAATGTAAGCAAAAAATGACCCTATTCTGACCTGTTACAACGTTCTCTGATACTTTTCAAGTATTAAAAGCTAGGGAAAGGATATAGCTCTTAAAAGGATGGTCTTGTGAGTTGCATTCACTTATTCATCATCTCTAAACGACTTACAGCCACTAACTAGCTCAATCTCCTAGGCATCTGCTAGGCAAAAAGTCATGGAACGTCTACAACACAGACAATACTGCCCGCGTCCGGCGCGATGAAGCAGAAGCCAAGACGCGAGAAGAAGAGGAACAGCGCCGTCTACAGAAAGCCGACGCTGAGAAGCGCATACAGATTCTACGGGGCCAACGCTCACCATCTAATTCACCTCCCCCATCACTCGAAGCAAAACCGAAAGCTTCTCAGCGAAGGGAAGCAGAACAAGAACCGCGTCATCGCAAACGAAGACGTATAGCTGGTGAAAATGATACAGATCGCGATATACGATTTGCTAGGGAAGATGCGCAGCTCGCAGAGGCGACACGTGAAGAGGATGTTGTCCTCTTCCGCAAAGAGGCAAAGGACGCCCCGCTGATTGATGAATCGGGCCATATTAACCTGTTTCCCCCATCTGCAGTAGCAAACGATCCTTCTGGTAACTCAGGGAAGAATCCAGAAGCCGAGATGGAGGCAGCAAGGAAGAAACGTGAATATGAAGACCAGTATACCATGCGCTTCTCAAATGCGGCAGGTTTTCGGCAGAGCTTGGACAAGAACCCATGGTATTCGTCGTCAAATGTTGACATTGCGGCACAGACAGCAGAGGATATGTTGCCCAATAAAGATGTGTGGGGAAATGAAGATCCGCGCAGGCAGGAAAGGGAGAGGGAGAGGATCACTTCCAACGATCCGTTAGCGGCGATGAAAAAAGGGATTCATCAGTTGAAGGCCGTGGAGAAGGAGAGGAAGAAGTGGGAAGAGGAGAGGAGAGAAAAGCTAAGGGATCTGAAGAAAGAGGAGGAAAGGAAGCAGAGAAGATATTCGAGTCGTCATCGGAAAGAGAGACGGCGGCGAAGGAGGCGGGGATCTGATGCTTCACGGGATAGTTTGGAGGGATTCAGTCTGGACGCTGATGTTCCTCTTGCGGAGAATGCCCGTGAGCGTGAGAGTTCTAAGAAACGTAACTCACATCGGGACCGGCGGGAGCGGAGTCGGGATCGGTCTCCGAGACATTCACGTTCCCATGATGATCGCCATTCTCACCGAAGCTCCAGGAACCACGACAAGGAACGTGGAAAACGCTCTTCTGGTGATGACCAGTCATCGGGCTGGGTGCCAGCTCCCGGGAAACGATACAGTGCCCAGTTTGCCAACGTATAGCTGGCTGATTAGTTTTCTTCGCACTTGATATATACCCATACGCTTAATCTAGAAAATTCCAGAGTAATGCAGTTATGAATAACGACGCTTTTAATTTGACCAACCTTCTCTATTTTTAATATACCCCACAAAGTATAAGAGTTCTGTGGACCCAAATTCTATAAGAAGCTGCCTAAGATTTGAGAATTCCTGAGAAGTTGAGTTTCGTTATTACTGCAACGACCACTCCTGTCGCCCACTTTCCACATCCTCAATATCCCAATTAATCTTAATATCCAAAGAGCGTGACTTATCTTCCTTCTTCCTATACTCTATATGTCCCTTAATAACCTGTCCCTTCTTTAACGGCTTGGCGGGCTTTTTCTTCCTGTTAATCAGAAACAACCCTTGTTGCCAATGAGTCTCCGGATCAAACGGGCTTGTCGAGAAAGCGACAAACCCTTCCTTCTTCATATCCCCTGGCACAGCATCCTTAGCCACCTTGGACGTCCTCGACGGCATAAAGAACATATCAAACCACACAGCCCAGCCGTCCAGCGCATCAATGTCCGTATTGAGCGCCACTTCAAACTCCTTGACAAACGTCAGCTCGTCGATGGTTATGTTATGTAGAGGCAGTTGCAAGAATGGCGATGCCTTGGCGACGATGGTGTCTTCCGGCTTCGAGATACAATGGATCAGGGCCTCATCGTATATACCCAACAACATGCTGGACATTTTGAAACCGTAGACTGAGTTCCAGAAGGTGATGTGCGGGTCAATCAGGTCTGGACCGGCTAGGGGTGCTATTTGGAGTGTGGCATGGGAGGGAACCATCAGGCCGTCCGGCGCAAGGTAGCGATCTCTGGCCCAGATTACGGAGTCGAACATGGCTTCGAAGAGGAGGCAATATCCCATCCATTCCGAGACAATGATGTCGACTTGTGGGACGGGGAGTTGCACTTCTTCAATTTTACCGCGGATGCATCTAATAATGTCCAGTTAGTATGATTATAGCAAATGCCGGGATTTAAAAAGAAAGCTATACTTGATCACGTCTCCGAATCCATTGTCATAGACGATTTCACGAGCCCGGTCGATGATATCAGAGTTGTCAACTGCAATCACCATTTTCGCCCCTGCTTTGGCGCAAAACATTGATAAAATACCTGGACACAAGTAAGCCATAAAAAAGCTCATGGAGTGATATAAGTAAATGCTATCGTACCCGTTCCACACCCAACATCAAGCACAACCTTGTCCTTAAAAAGACCTTTGTTGTCATATATAAAATCCCGATAAGCATCCGTGCGGACGGAATCTTTGAGCATGGATTCATGTATATCTGTTGCAATCAAGACTTAGTTGATAAGTCCACCACATTTGTTTATTGGCTATCGCATGATGGATTGAATAAGCACCATTATACGAGTAGGAGGTGAAGTAGCCAGACTCTGCTTGCTGAAATCTGCCAGACTCTGAAGTTTCTGTTTTCCCATCTGCACTTGCAGTGGCGCTGCTTAATTCCTTATCCAAAGTCCGCTTAACGATCGCCTTATACTCCTCAATATCTCCTCGCATACGCTCCAGCTCTTCCTCTAGTTCTCGAATCCGAACCGTCGGATCTTTCGTATCTGCCTGTTTCACCCCGCCATCGTCTCCTCCCACATCTTGACCGGGACTCAATTCCTCAGATAAATCATCTAAGCTGTATAGAAGAGCATCGCCCTCCAGCACAGGCCTCAAGTATCGCTCATCATCGAATAAGGACGCAGAGGATACATCGGGTGTTAAATTTCCCGCCTTGACTTCGGAACGAATATAGTTGACAAGACGAATGGTGCCCAGGAAATCTAGGTCTGCAAGAGGAGATTTTGTAAAAGGGGAAGAAGAAAAGAAGTCAGCTGTAGGCTAGCCCAGCACCAAATGGCAGACACCACACTTTTGCTCTCCCGTCACATTGCGCAAAATATTGGGCCGGTATTGATCTACACACCAAGGTCCTTCTGAACCCTTAAAAAGTCCAAGTGGAAATTTTCTTTGCAGTCATGGAGCATCGATCGAGCATCTGGGAAGACCTTATCATTAAACAAGCTGATTACAGGCTCAGATTCCTCGTCGAGCTCGAGATCTTCCCATCCTTCATCCTTGGATAGGTCGAGGGGATCAGTGATGGATGAATCGCTGTCACTGTCCACATGGTTATCTTCGGAGAGAGCGCGTGGAGTTTGGGGAAGAGAAGCCATAGTTGCATTAGAATAGTGGAGAAAGAAAAACCCTGATATATCCTATAAAGGACAATGGCGTGGTGATCAGTTTGTTAACCCTCCTCGATTAATATCTTTCTTGTATTAAAACTAGGCGCGGAAGAATTTTGGTTGAAGGTTTGAAGTGGGGAAATTTAAGAAGCTTAAAATATGACAGCCTAAACAATTCTGACAATTTTGACAACACGTGAAATAGATACTCTCTCTCATGTGATTCTTTCAGAATGTTTTGTTGCATCGTGAGATGCTTTTCTCAAATGAAGGCCCGGGTAGTGACGCGAGACTTCGGATCTATGTTAAAGCTGACAACCAGCTATATCGTACCCAGAGGGTACTTGCAACGGGGATATTTATTCTTCTGCAACGTCTTACCAGGTAAGATTCGAGACTTCACTGAATGCTTTCTCCTATGAAACTATCAATTGGCAACTCCTTGGGGTTGAGCATTTGTCGAGTAGAATCGGCTTGCATAACTAGGTCACGGAACTACGATGATATTTAATAACTAATCGTGCCTCCGCGCACCCACACCTCATGTGGGTGTGCCACAGCGTAATGATAAAAACAGCATAATGATAAAAATATCAACTTCTTCATTAATCAATCTTCAAATATTAATATATCACTACCACCATGACCAATAAGATAGATGATCTTGAAAAATGTATTCAGAGTGTCATTGAAGTCTATAATGGCAATTGAAAACAGAAAATCCTACCTCTGGCATACAAATTCAACATTTCTTATCAACATCTTCAAGTAAAAATCAATGGAAGAAAAACATGCAATGCAAAGACTGCACTAAACAAGAAGCTTAGCAAGAGTCAGGAGAATGTGTTAAAAGAGTGGATAGCTCATATGAACAGAAATAATTGTTTGCTGACTGCAGAGCAGATTCAAGATAATATAAATCTCATTCTCAAATGCCATTATACTGATCCTTCAACCTTCTCATCTGTGGTTAGCAAGATGTGGACCTATCAATATATACCAAGCTTGAATGAGTATAAAAGAGTTAGACAGAAGGCAATGAATCTGAAAAGAATTATTGTTGAGAATATTAGCTACATCAAGATGTGATTTGATCATTTGAAAATCTTACTTCAAAAGTACATATTTTAAATCTGTAATATCTACAACTTCAATGAGATTGACTTTTAAGAGAGTCAAGAATATGAAGAATGAGTTATTACTGCTTTTAAAGACTTTAATTCAGTTATAACTTTATTATATTTTTGAGAATTGATCACTGTGATTGAGTGTGTTTCAGCAGATGATGAGATATTGAATCTCTTCATCATCATGAAATTCAAAACTTAACTTGAAGACTGATATACATAAAGCAATCTACCAGGCAGATATACAATTACAACATCAGATACTAATTATATTAATGATGAGATTAACTTTGCATGAATTCAGCACTTTAATAAGATCTCTAAAAAACATCAGTAAGACAGTCATCAATTGCTGCTTTTTAATAATTATGAATCTCATCTTATTGAAGAATTTTTACAATACTGCAATCTTCACAAGATTATTCTATATGAATTTTCTTCACATTCAACTCATATATTGCAATCTCTAAATAGCATATCTTTTCAACAGTATAAGCACTATTATTCAAAGATAATTAATCAAGCTGCATGATACAGATATGAGCAGTATGAAAAATGTCAATTTCTATAAAATCTAGCTGATGTTCATAAAAAAACTTTTCAATCTTTTACTATTTAAACTGACTTTGTGAATCATGGCATTATCTCATTCAACTCACAATCTATACTGCTTAAGCTAGATTCAAAGATCTCTGACTACTCTAAGTTGCAAATATATAAAGAAGACTTCTTTTTACTGCAATCAAACTGTTTAGATATTGCTTCATCACAGCTATTCTCACTCAAGACAATTGAGAAGCTACAATATTATATTTGAGTGACAAAGAAGACAATGCAAGATATGAAGAATACACTTGATTTCAAATCATCTCATCTGAGCAATTGATTGAACAAGATTTTTGAAGGCAGTCTTGTCCAGACAGAACTCAATACTATAAGAGAGAGTGAGATTGAGAGTTACTATTTTGCAATCAAATGCCACAGAACTAAAATTACACATCAGCAGGTTCAAGTAGAAGGTATACTCACTGTCAGAGATGCAAATAGAAAGATCACACAATGTAAAGAGGAGGAAGCAGAAAAAGAACATTATAAAAAAGTCAAACATGTTGAGAGAGCTTTGAAGAAAAATGCCACAGATCCAACTCAACAAGAGGTTAATGATATATATGAATGTCTCGCGAATAATACAGCTACTACAGATGATATAGATAAATTAATTATCATAGATTAGCAGTGTGGTGATGAGATATTAATTTTTGAAGTTCTAATTATCCATATTTTTATCATTATGCTGTTTTTATCATTACGCTGTGGCGCACCCACATCAGGTGTGGGTGCGCGGGGCACGATTAGTTAGTTAACTAAATACCTCTTCTGTTGTTTACCAAGTTCCGCAATTCATACAGGGATGCCTGTTCCAGCGGCCTCTTTTTCAGTCTCTGCATCGCACCCCGTAGCCCATCGCAGGGCCTAAATAATTAATACCACGATTTAACCACGAGCCCCGACAATGGATTCTTAGACCCAAATACCTCCAGTCCAACTTCTCGCGATTCTCGCCCACCACCGGACCGCAGTCAGAGCCACGATGTCACAGGAAGTTCACACTACAGGGGTAAAAACTAGCCAGCATTATACCCAATTAACTATACCTTCAAGGGTTAACCAGGGGAGAGAGATTAGAGGGGAGGTTCCCGAAAGTGTTGGATCTACAATTTTGCAACATTGACTAAATAACCTACGGCCTTCCGTGAAGCTCGGGGGCGAATCTCCCCACGTTCACGGCTCCCGCAATGCCTCTTTCAAGGTGGGAAAGCTCTGAATTCCCTCCGATGATGTACTGAGATGATATCTACGGCACACTTTTCATGTAGAATAGGACATTTCCCGAACAATCGGCTCCAGTAGAGATTAATGAAGCATGTGTTTCGTTCTTGGACGAGCAGTTAGCTGGTTTTTGAGAGGAAGAGCCTAAAGGGCGAAATGTTAGGCAGTGCACCCCCGAACCTTAATTAAGACTCTTTAACTACCAATTGGCATCCAAAGCCTAAAAAAGCAGCCTGTGAGACTCCCACGGCACGTAATTGCACTGAACTCGTCTCGCGCTACTAGTAGCTTGGCGCGTACCAGAGTGCCTGGATCCTTCGTTTCCAACGGGCAACTACCCCCACTGTACGTCATGCCCAGCTGGTGCCACGCTTGTTTTAACCAAACGGCAGATGAAAACCATCAGCTTCAACTCTTACGCCTACCACGAAATCTCTCCCTTCCACAGGAACAACACCACCTCCCTCCCAACGCCAGTCCCGATATATTCGACCATCTCCTCCACGGCGAACTACCCACTGTCATGCCTAGGGCATTGGCTTACAATTTCCGTATAACCCACCACCTTCAACACGTTGAGAAAGTTACCAACATCCCATTGTTTTGATGAATTCCGATTGAGGTCTTATATAAGCTCACTTTCCCCCTATCTCCTGGACACCAACAAGGGACTTGTGGGCGACAATGGCGTTCCTGTTCAACCGCGCCAGAGCAAGGCAGCCCGCGGAGGTCGCGCGATTGATAAAGGAGTTCCTCGTGAGGCTCTGGGAAAACCCAAATGGTGGCTCGAAGGTTCGCTTCATTTATCTATCAAACTATGGAGATTCTGCTGACGGTAATGGAAACCAGATAGAGGAAGATTTAGCCAAGCAATTGGCCCATATGAAGTTGATAGTTCAGGGGACACAGGGTCGGTAAAATTATTGGTGGATATCCGCCTCCCTTCCTCCGTCCCGCAAAATATTTACGAGAGGGAATAGTCTAGCTCACGATTTCCCCGGTGAAGAAGTCGACATTCTTCCCGAACAGGTACAACAATTGATACAAGCCGTCATCCAAGACGACCTCCTCTACGAACTCGCCCGAAGTATCCGATACCTCCCATTCGAAGCAAGAAAAGATACGCAAACTATATTCTCCCATATCCTCCGTTTCAAACCCACCAATGCGGACTCCTCAGAACCTCCTGTCATATCCTACATTGCTAGCAATCGGCCAGAAATTATAGTGGAGCTATGTTGGGGCTACGAAAATCATCGAAGCGCCATGCCCTGTGGCTCTATCCTGCGGGAGGCGCTCAAGTACGAGGTTATTGCGGCTATTATACTGTACGACGAGTCGGCAAGAGACGGGCCTGCTATCCATATTAATGAAGTTGATCCCGGTACCAAGCAGACTGGAGAGGGAGTCTTTTGGAATTTCTTCCAATGGATTAACCGCGGTAGCTTCGAAGTAGGCGCAGATGCATTTACTACTTTTAGAGTAGGTGACCACATTCAATCTTTCCCCTTGTCTATATTTAGTTTTTGCATAAGTGTACAAGAGGATCTTTTTTTTTCGGGGTTTTGGTTTTTAGCTGACCTTTCTCCCTAGGAAATTCTCACGAAACATAAAGCCCTAGTGTCACAATATCTGTTATCGAATTTCGAGTTGTTCTTCGGCAAATACAACGATATTCTTGTCCAGTCGGACTCGTATGTGACAAAACGGCAAAGCATCAAGCTGCTAGGCGAGATCCTTCTAGACCGGGCTAATTATAATGTCATGACGAAATACGTGGATCGCGGAGATCATCTCAAGCTGTGTATGAACCTGTTGAGAGATGATCGCAAAATGGTCCAATATGAAGGATTCCACATTTTCAAGGTCCGACCCATCATCTGCCTCAACCCGGTTTATTTTTTTTATTTTTTTATTTTTTTTGTTTTTTTATTATTCTCGTTTCTTGCATATGACACAAAATGAATCTAACACTCACACTTCTAGGTCTTTGTTGCAAATCCCAACAAATCTATTGCTGTCCAAAAGATCCTAATCAACAATCGCGATCGGCTGTTGAAATTCCTTCCCAAGTTCCTGGAGGACCGGACAGATGACGACCAGTTTACTGATGAAAAAAGCTTCCTTGTACGGCAGATTGAGATGCTGCCACTAGAACCTGTTGAACCTGGGCGGAAACAGACTAGCAATGTTAATGACTCTGAGGCTGGTACAGCTACTGCGGCGTAAAGGGTTGATGTTTAGAAGAGATACTTTAACGGAGCTGCGGCTCGTAGATTACGCCATAACTCCCTGCTCCATCTTTAAAGCCATTTTTTATCTCCTCCCTTTATTCCAGCCATGTGGGCATAACAAAGCACTGGATGCATCTAGATATAGCCTCCCATTCAACAAGTTTGCAAATAGTTTCTTTCAGAAAAACCTGCTTTTCCTTGTCTCACCTTTCTGTTCTTCCCTTCTTCTTTCCCTGGCATCTAACCAAGCGAGGGACAGCAAGTTTATCACAGAGTTGGAGTGAATCGATTATTGATAGAATAAATGCCCAGGTGGGGTGTTGATCCGCGTTTTCGAAATAATAAAACCCCCTTTTGCTTTCCGGTAATTAGAGTCTAGGTGTAAAAGGGGGTTCATTGTAAGGGCTCAACGCTCAGGGTACGGCGCTTAGACACATCAGGCTTAGCGGCCGCGGGGACCCAGACCTTTAATAATATCTGTAGATGTGATTGGCTGCAGTGGCCATTTAGTGGGTTGAATATCCAGGGCATAATATCACGTGGACCAAACTTATAGATGGATGATCTTTGCTTAACTTGACTTCAACCAGGCTTGGAATGTATATATCTCCTCGTTGCTTCTGCTCCACTGCCTTAAATTGACCAATGTCTTGGCTGTAGGGATGGGTTTTCGTGATGTTTGTGGCCCCGCAGTTGGTGGCGTCCAAAAATGGCAGCTCGTTGCTATGCTGATTCGGTCTCTAATCCGTAATAGGAAACCTTGGCACCAACCTCCTGAAACTAGCTCCGTACTGCAAATATTACAAGAAATTATCAACCTGTTTAGTGCCAACCCAATCAAATCAATCAAATCCAAGCATTATTCTTCATCTTCATTAATCCTGTGTTTCATTGAATTGTATTCATCAAATTATGATTAACCTTCCTTATAAACTTGATTGGATTTTTATAAATTTATTAATATTTATATTTTGATTAATTTTCTAAAAATATATTTATTATTATTATTATTTTTAACTTTAATATCTTTACTTATTATTATAATTTTTAATTATTATTGTTTTATATAAAATATAAAGTAATATTAAAAAATTATATAATAATAATAATAACAAATAATAAAATTAAAAATTAAAAAATTAAAAAGTATTTATTTTTATTTTAAAATAATATTAAGTTATTAGTAATAATATATACTTTAATTTAACATTTATAATTTTATAAAATCTATTAATTTAATTTTATATTTAATAAAAAGATTTAAATTATTTATATATATATATATATTTAATATATTTATTCTTATTTATATTATTTATAATATATTAATAATAATATTTATATTTTAATAATTTGTATTAATAATTTTTATAATTAAATATTTTAAAGTTATAGTTTATTATATACTTAAATAATTATATTAATAATTATTTATTTTATCAAATGTTATATGATATATATATATATATATATTATAATAATTTCTAATAAAAATTTAATACTTATAAAATACTTTACTTTATATAATAAATATATTAAATAAAATAAAATTATATGAAATAAATATAATTGTTGTTGTTATAACAAGCTAGTCAAGTTTTATCTAATTAAAATATCGATGCACGTGATTTGAGAAGCCCAAAGTAGTTCCCTTTATACTTTCATGATCAGAAGCAACCTTGAAACTCATCTCGATTCATTTCCAAATCTCCGCCCCTTTTTCCTTTCTCACTGTGCAACCACTGTGATTACCTTGCCCTGGACTGCCCTAACTAACATTTCCCTAGAGTCTGCCTGTTAATCAATGGAACCAGTTGTCTTTTCTTTCTATTTAGATCCCTTCGCTAGATAGTTTCTAATTCTTTCTTTCTTTTCTTTTTTTTCTTTTTCTTTTTTTTTTTTCCAAAGAGGAATGCCGTCTCCAGATCCTCGTTGCGCCTCCCCATGACTTTGGAAATTACCAGCTCACTTACCGACTTCTACAGCTGCTGTTGACGTCTCCTTCTCTGCTTCGTCCTCTCGTATAGCCTGGCGTCACTCTAATTGAGTCAGCAAGTTCTTGCTGTGTGGGACGTTCTCAACCCAATTTTCCCTTTAGATATAAATTGACATGGCGCTGAGCCTTGAGGGTGGAGCTATGGCAGATCTTGCGCCTACCAGGTCTCCTCCCCCTATACCATCTATGAGCTCTATTACCAGGGTTGAGGCCCCCGAAGCTCTCAACGACGATACTGCTGCTACTGCTTCCGTCCCTCTGTCACCGCCTCCTGTGCCATCTCCTCTCTCTCCCACCACACCCATTTCAACCAACACACCTCCTTCTCGACCCTCCAGTCTACAAATAGAATCATTCAATCGTGCCCCAAAGCAGACATCAATTACCTCCACAGAGCTACCTATCTCCCCCATGAGGTTAATTCATCGCGTGGAAAGTGAAACAAGAAGGGATTCTAGTCTTGCCACATCTAGAAGGGACAGCAGAACAACAGTGGCCACAGAAGAACTCTCTTCACCAAGCCTGAAGTCGCCTCCTAGCATTCCAAGCATTATCATCGACGAGGAACATACTCGTCCTAGCTCCCGACTATCAGAACGAAAATGGAGTCCGCTAAAGAAAAGGAAGTCAGACCCTCCTACTGCCGTCCCACCGCTTCCAATTGCCGAACCTATTCCGTTTCGTGGTATTTCTTTGGACATCCCAACTGGCTCCTTTGGAGACTTGACTTCGGAATCCTTGGAATCAATCTCTGAAGGTCCGCAAAAAAGTGTTGATAGGCCTGGAGAAGCTTCTGAAAGTCGGCCAAAAGAAGTTATAGATAACGAAGAGAGCATTATGAGTGATGGGAGTAATAATAATAATAATAATAATAACAACAACAACAGCAACATCAACATCAACATCATCAATGACAATGATAATAATGATAATGATAATACGCTAGACAGCAAATCAACGACTCCCAAATCACTGAATTCGAGACGTATCAGGTCTAACAATTCTCTACGACCTCGGCCATCTAGCTCTGCAGCTCGAGCTCTTTCGACTGACGAGGAAATCCTATCGCAACGGGTCCGTTTGATGTATGAGAAGGGAGATGAAGCTATTGACGAGGCAGAGGTTAACGAGCTTTTGGGTCTTAATAATGAGGAGGCTATATTGGATGGCCCATCACCTGAAGGCGAGAACACTGATGTGTGCGAAACTAAACGGGCAAACACTCCAGCTACATCAGTTGTTGGACACAGCTCGAGAAGGAGTAGTTTTATCCCAAGAGAACCACATGAGCTTGCTGGAGGTTTGGAGGATTGGGAGAATATTCAAGTCGGCGACGTTGATAGATATGGGTTTATTATACCCCGAAAAGAAACCGGAAATAGTCCAGACATGCGTTCACCTATGCGGCGGGTCTCAGCTAGTTTATTGTTTGCATCCTCAGCTCCACGTAAGAAACGTACGTTACAAAGGGCACCTTCTGCCGCAGCAAGTTCCCGATCTTTCGCAGGACGGTCTCCTCCTCGAAAATCAGCAGATCAATCCCGCCCTTCTTCTTCTCAAAGTTCCTATCATCCAGGTCTTCATAGATCCTCCTCCAAAATACGATATGCTACCAACAAGTTACCCCATAATAGAAATCGAAAGTTCGTGGATGAAGCGAGAGACATGTTAACTCTCCCCGGTCAAACCGTTGATGATGATGATGACGGTCCCCTTGCCCTTGCAAGGAAGAAAAAGGAATGGGAAAGAGAAGATAAGTGGAGAAAGATGGCCAAAGTAGTATCTAAATCACACGATGGTTCTGGCATGACTTTCGAATTCGATGTGAAGAGCTCGAAACTTACCGAGCGTACCTGGAAAGGGATTCCCGACAGATGGCGAGCTACAGCCTGGTACGCGTTTCTAAGTGCTAGTGCAAAGAAAAGAAAAGATAGTCCGTCAGATACAGAGCTTATTCAGAAGTTCAATGATCTCCAAGAGGAAGGCTCCCCAGATGATGTTCAGATTGATATTGATGTTCCCAGGACCATTAACAGTCATATCATGTTTCGTCGCCGGTATAGAGGCGGCCAGAGGCTTCTCTTCCGAGTCCTCCATGCGATGTCCCTCTACTTTCCTGACACTGGATATGTTCAGGGTATGGCTGCGCTGGCTGCGACGCTTCTCGCATACTACGACGAAGAGCATGCTTTCGTCATGCTTGTGAGGTTGTGGCAACTTAGAGGCTTAGATCGGTTGTACAGATCCGGTTTCTCTGGTCTGATGGAAGCTCTGGATAATTTTGAAAAGGGATGGCTTGATGGCGGTGAAGTAGCTCAGAAGCTGGTATGTTTCTTTCATGAATTCATTCCTCAAACTGAAGGTAAAACTAATATCAGGCACTAACCCTATATCCAGACTGAACTCGGCATTCCCCCAACTGCCTACGGAACCCGATGGTACCTAACACTATTCAACTACTCAATTCCATTCCCCGCCCAGCTCCGCGTCTGGGACGTCTTCATGCTCCTAGGAGACTCAGAGGAACCACCAGCACCCACAGATTTACCCACGTCTCTACCCCCAACAAGTTCCCTCACACCAAATGGTAATATCTCCGATGCCCAATCATCCCCCAAGCAACCGATCGCCAGGCCCTTCGGCAAAAGCCTTGATGTCCTCCACGCCGCCTCCGCCGCCCTCATCGATGGTATGCGGGATATCATCCTGGAATCAGACTTTGAGAACGCAATGAAGGTTTTGACCAGCTGGGTGCCGATTAATGATGTGGAGATTTTCATGCGGGTTGCTAGGGCGGAGTATAAAGTTCATCGAAAGAAAAGTTGATTGATAGGCTCGACTCAACGCACCGTCAAACTTTCACGCCAGTAACATATATATATCCATTAAATATCGTCGTTATCGATTGGACAGATCTAGGGCAGCATCCAGTAGCAAGAAACCTCTCATCTTGTCATTAACCTCCTCCAGTCCCCCAGGTGGGCACATTAAGTTCTGTC